TGGTGTTGACATGGATTTCAGTCTTAATTCTAATGACTCAGATTCATTCATAGTCACATTTTTTAAGTCTTCTGAAGCTTTTGTTCACTATTTGTTCACTTTGGATTTCTTTTTAGCTTGATATTTATTCTCCCCATGTGCCAACATTTTGTGGGGTCACAAACAGAAACCTTGGACCTATATTGGATGGGTGTTTGAGGAAGACAAGAGCAAATTTTCAGCATTCTGTTTGTTTTCTGGTACATACCTTCATGGATTCCAGTTGTATTTTTTCTTTCAGGAGATATCACTGGATGCATGTCTTTCACAAGATCCATGAAATCACAACCATCCTGTGTGTTGTAGATCATGACATATCCTTGTACTGAAGACCTCCAAAGAATTCTGGGTCAATGACCCTCACCTTGCCATTCAATTTTTACCTTTTGAATTCCTTTGACATGATACATTGATTCTGCAAACATGGGAGACATGAATTATACCACAAGAAATGAAGTTTATGGACATTTCACCGGGGTAAGCTTGGAACCAGTAAGAGTAGAAGCAAAGAAACCATTCAGTAAATAACACGTATAGTTATGAATACACAATAACAAGTTGTGATTGTGAAATCAGGACAAAAGATTATGATTGGCAGATATGCTCCATTCACTGCTTGCTACATGTGGGCTAATACAAAATAAGAGATATATGTGACAGTTGAAAGACCTTTTGAGCAAAAAGAAACTGCTCAATTTGGGGGTCGAACCCAAGACATCCGCATCACAGTATTAGGGCATCCTAAGACCAGTATTAGTATGGCACTCTAACCAACTGACACCCCGGGCAAGGACGTGACGCTGCGCAGGATGCGTCACGCGGACGCCGACCCGGGGCCAAGGGGGGGGTCTTGTAAAACCGCGGCGCATATGTAGCGTCCGCGCGACGCATCCCAGGATGCGTCACGTGTTTGCCCGGGGTGTGAGTTAATCGAGCGGTACCGGTTCGGGTACTTTTGGAATCGTATCCCCAACCCCAGAGGCATGCAGTCTTCCTGTTGCAACACAACCTGAGCTGGAGATCACATCTGAGCTGGTCACATACCAAGGAAGCATTGATGGAGCCACAGTTCGGGCTAAACTTTTTTGTTAGATAAAACTAGATAATGGGTTCATCTCAGCATTCATCTGCCAGACTAAAGGCTTCCTTCAGAGTCCATCTTTGGACTTGACCTTCTTTAGTTCTCACATTCTTTTCGGCTATGTTTCTCTTTCAAGCAATCATGCTTTAGGTCTTTGCCTTACTAAGGCTTAACCTGGTGTGGGGGAGCATAGGCCACGGACTTCTTGTCTGACCAAGGTTTTGAAAAATTTCCCAGTTTGTGTTCTCTTCTGAGTGGCCGACTTTTGCCCTGGCCCTGCGCTCTCACTTGGTCTCATCCACCGCGTCTCAGGTCCCGATGGAACTTGCCGACGACGACGTCCTTTAGCTTTGGCCACCAGTTGCAATGAAACCGCGATTTCAAATAAAAAACAAGTGAATGAACATCCAAAGATGCTCTGATCAGGGTGGTGACATAGCTTTTATGAAAGTATTTCAGTCCAGTTTGCATTATTCTCTACATCCTATGCTTTGTATACGGTTGCTTCCATCTCATAAGTAGATGAACACTGAAGCTCAACTGACAATATGGAACGGGACATATACGCTTTGAAGATAAGCAGAAAGGGATGTAGTTCAGATTTAGTACATGTATTTTCTTTGCTGATGATAAACTCCTTCCTGATGCCTCACTTGGCGATAAATCTTGGTGTATACTTGGTGTTCTTGGTGATTAAACAAATCCGCCGAAAACGATGGTATACCCTTGGTAGGTTCATTTGATGTGAGGTACAAAATAGGAAGGGTCATCTCACCAATGACCAACAAATTTGGATATCCTTACGCCCATCTCACTTGCAATATCGTAACACATCGAGGTCTTTGATAGGATGCTAGCCTTGTCTAGGGTATGCAACAGATTACGGTTTCTATATTGCTTCATAGATCATGGTTCCACACAAGTTACAGGAAGGAAAAATGTTGAAGGCGAGTGAGAGGATCCAATAGAAACCAAATTCGAGCATCACATTGACAATCCATCATACAAACTCCATGAGAAAAAGCCAAAGATAACGACGCCGAGTGGCCGCGCGCTCTGTTGTGTTCTATGGACCAAATGATAACCAGTAGAGGGATAAGATGAAAATAAGAATACATGAAAGAAGTTGAATAGAAAAGCCGATCTTGGTCAGGAATGATTCCAACGCGCAATCAAGAGAAAGTAACTGCGTACATTGTGTGATCAATGATCGATCAGGTGAGCATGAGCCGCTGGGTGGCGGACAGCTTACTTGTTGGAACCGCAGTTAGTGCAGCTGGTACCGGTGCAGGCTATGGTGAAGAAACCAAAGAATGATCAGACAGCTGGAGCAGAGAACTAGTTTAAACCCCAAAAAGAGAGGAAGCATACATGAACCGCAGCATCCATTGGATCCACATGGAGCAAACATATTGATATTTGATTTGGTTTTGGGGGGTTTGGTAAGTTTCTAGTGCGGTTTGTTAGTGCTTCGACTTTTTGATGACGATGGTGGGTGGATGGACTAGCGAACCGATCGCAGGAGGCCGGCTTTTATGTTCATTTTTTGCCACACGAGCAGATTTCCACCTCGATCCTGCCGTGGGGAGCTTACTCTTGTTTGCGGCAGGCTCACTCACAGAAGCCTTGACCTAGTGAATATTCCTTACCGCGTTCGCCCGCGTTAGAAGACCCTCAGACTCGTCGCCGCTCTGATCGATCTCATAGCTCGTACACTTACTACGTACAATAGATTTTAACAAGCTTGCCTCAAGCCGGTCGGACAAGGTCTCTGAGACTTTAGTAGGATTACATATCATAGACATCATAGAGGACGCAGGATTGAAATGGGCACAGAGCGGCAGTGTACTTGGGGTCAGTCTGATGACAAGTCACAATCCATCTGCAAAGAAAAAAGTTGGGGTGAGCTCTGGTCATCCGGTTTGATATACATATGGGCACGTAAAACTAATTGTACATAGGGAGTCAACCAAACCACCTGCACCAAGCGGTTTGGATCTAGTCTGATGTGATGGTTTCATAGGTCTTGTCCCCAAACCCCCGCGAATTCGCTCGAGATTGACGAACATACATAATTGAACAAGCTTTGTGTAGTCGAGATTCAATACGCTGTGAAATGATCGAGTAAGAGTTGGTCCAATCAGATAGGGACAGATAGGGAGGCATATCATATCAATCTCTTACCTAAAGATGCGTAAATTGAGTAGGGATACTTTTGACTGGAAGGCCGATCGGCTGAAGCGAACTGGCTGGCAATCTATGTATGCATTCGAAACAGTTTGATTCCATGGCTGCATCAATTCAGAACAACCAATGATGTTTAAGCATGAGGGAAAGCTTGAAGTTCAAACACACGATCAAGGGTATCGAGAAGTTCCGAAATTATGACATCATTGCCAAGAATCACCGATCGCAGTTCTTGTCGTGCTTTAGCAACATCACTATATAAAGTCACCTTCCTGACCCGTTTGTCAAGTTCACCCACCCAACATCGTCAACAAAAAGTCGAATCACTTACAAACCTCATTAAACCTTACCAAACCCCCCAAAACCAAATCAAATATCAATATGTTTGCTCCATGTGGATCTAACGGATGCTGCGGTTCATGTATGCTCCTTCACTTTTTGTGATCTACTCTTGCTAGTTCTCTGGTCGTCTGATCATCCTTTGATCTCTTTCCCATAGCCTGCACCGGTACCAGCTGCTCAAACTGCGGTTCCAAGAAGTAAGCTGACCGCCATCTAGCGGCTTAAGTTTGCCGGATCAAACAAGGATCAAACAATGTACGCATTTAATTTGTCTCGAATATGCGATTGAATCTTTCCTAATCCAGACTGCCTTTTCTATCCAACTTTTCAACTTCTTTTATGCGTTCTCTTTCATCTTATGCTACCTTTCATTGCTCGTGTTTTGGTCCATGAAATCCAATAGAGCCCGCGGTCCCTCGGTGTTGTTGCCTTTTTCTTTTTTTTTCTCATGGAGTTTGTATGGTGGATTGTCAATCTTCTGCTCGACTTTGGTCTCTATGTGATCCCTTACTTGACTTCAACATTGTTCCTCCATGTCATTTTATGGAATTATGGTACATGAAGCAATATAGAAACCATAGCTTGTTGCATACCCTTCTGTCTGAAGAACAGACAAGGCTAGCGTCGGATTCTTATCACAGACCTCGATGGTTGGTGATGGGAAATTAGAGTTCAAGTTTGTTGCCCTCTGTCCAGTTTTTCACGTCAATTTCCCTCAGCAAATGGATCATGAAAAATGCTTTTGTGTAGTCATCTTTTTGTAGCCATCATATGCATTGACATGCGACGAGGCTCAGTAAGGCCAACCAGAATGATCCCGGTGAACTCTTATTAGTCTTAAGCAAGGCTGAGAATGTTAAACGTATCAACCAATTACCTACCAAATGCATGAGCTGTTCAAACTTCACAGTCACGGAGTTCTATAATTCACAAGCTGATACTGAACAAACTCTTGAATGTCATTTTCATTGCCAGATATGGTCTGAACAACAATAGAAGACCTCCTGAAAGCTTCAGGGCATGCTCTGGGTCCACTAATTGCCAATGGCAACATTCTTTGAGATGATCACATCAAACCTCGAACTAATAACATGGATACTTTAAAAGAATCACATATTTGACTTGGAATTAAACTAAAGATAAACATAGGTAAAAAGCTAGAACAATGGAAGTATTATGCGTTATTATTCGTATATCATTCAACTCATTCAGCTAAGACAACAACCGCAGACATGATCCGACATGTAAGGAATGAAGCACCTGCTCGATAATGAAAAGTGTATACGTGAGAATTCCTGAGAGACAGAAATACGAGACATCGCGTCCCTGATAGAGAGCATTCGGTCATCTTTCACAAAACAAGAAGTTGGATCCCAGCAATAGTAGCAGAGAGCAAGAGTCCGTAGAGGGTTGAACCACTCGGTTTGTTCTGAGGTGAAGATGTACTTTTGTGCGTGTCGTTGGAGGGAGGTGGACTCGTTACTGAGACTGTGTTGTTGGTACCTGAAGAGGGTTTTTTTTGATACAAGTATGATATAAAAAGTTAAAATCAGATACTGGGGTGGATGTAAAGTTACCTCCGGAGTACATACCAGAGGCTGATTACCACGAAAAGGTAAGTAATACGACAATCCAATGAGGAAAGCAAGGGGTCAATTAATCGCATGTTGAGATCAATGTGAATTTAACTCGACTTTACGTACTTGGCTGAGACTGAGAGGGGGCACTTTCGGTCCTCACTGATCGTCAAAATGATGCGTCATTATTGATATTTTTTAAGGAGAAGAATATGCGCAATCTTCTGAGTCAGAATCATTCATTCTTATCCCAAAGATTTGATAGATTAGATATCACAAACCTGGACCTGGATTGGTGCTTAGATTCTTTGCAGGTTCAGAGAACGGGGCCGCGTCAAAAACACCAGGTGCTGTTAAAGTTAATTGTTTTGTCCATTCAGTTTTGTCAGGACATAGTATCGTTCATCGATCGACATCCGGGTCACCTGATAGTACGTACCAGGTCGAGAAGAGTCGGTTGTAGAGGCGTTACTCGCTATAATGACGGGTATCCCATGTTGAAACGCAACGATGAACGTCTTGCCGCAGAATGATCAAGTGAATGTTCTTACTTGAAGAGTTTGCATAATCAGTCGAACTATCCCCGGCATCAGTTCGATCATCGACCAATTTGAACTACACTCGGTCCATTTCCAATCGAAGACGCCCAAAGTGTAAATGTATTAGTTGTTGATATCTTGAGTCGCTCAGAATCATAGAGAGAAGTTGCTGACGTGGGTACCGTCGGATGGAGTGCCTCCCGCACTATTGGTTGAAGCGCTTGCGGACCTATCAGTGGAGGTGCTTCCAACCGTTTGCTCGCCTGCCAGAGTCAGAGAGACTGAAGCGCTAAGTAATAGTGACAAAAGAAGTAAAGCTTGGACCATCTTGACACTGTTCGACAAGCGAGTTAGTTAAGCAAAGGGTACAAAAGAATTGAAAAGACAAGATGTACAACTTGCGAGTGAGGACGGTGTTAAACTGGGTGAATTATAGTAGTTATCGTTGATCAGGAGGTGAATGATGATGACATACGAAAGTATGTAGCTGGAGGGAAGGTGAAACAAAACCGAAAATTTTGATCACTGATTTGATTTATGTATGGAGCGCTTCACTGGTGGGAATGCTTCATGTGCTGTTTAACTTTTCCACACTTCAATTGAGAAAGTATTCAAATCTATCAACTGGGGCCACACAGTCTCTCATGGCAATACGTCATCGCGGTGGCCAAGGGTGGCCATCCATCTCATCCAGATTCCAGGCTCATCCCGCCCAAACAGTCGAGGGGGAGTGAGAGGGGAATCGTTGCATCCCAAGTCGAGGAACTGCTTGAAGTTCAGAGAACTTGCAACGATATCGACTTTCAATTTCATCTCAGCCACAACATAAGTGAGCAGTTCTTTCTGCGAGTAACTGCCATGAGATGCCTCCGGAGTCCGAGAAAATAGCGAAGAAGAAAATATCACACCGTAAGGCTAGTCCACCGAGTCTCATTGCATGCTCCTTCGATCACGGTTATTTGCCAGCGAAATGACTTTTTCGAAAGGTTATCTTTCCTCAAGAGTAACATATACTGCAGTAAACGTTCGACTATAGTTAGCGTTCAGAAGATGAAAAGAGAAAACATACCTATAAGGGCTGGAAGTGAATCCTGAACAAAATATCATAAGAGCATGAAAGAGAAAGTTACTAGTCGTACGATCAAAATGATACCAATGAAAATGATACCAATGGCAATGGTGCTTGTATCAATAATGCGATTGAGAAATGCGATTATGTATGTATGTTTTGTTTGCGCCTAGCATCATGGTATTTGATGTCGGATATAAATTCATAGCTCCGGCGGCTGGCGTCGCTCAGATGACCCGCTGGCCCCGGACAAGTATCACGGATCTCCTCAGATACCAGAAGTTGAAATAAGAAAACAGCAATGACTTTGCAGGGATTGAACTTTCGATTTGATACTCCAACTCATAATTATTTATGGATTCTACACCACAAGGACACCCAGCTGTCCGGGGGATGTCCGATTTTTTGGTTACATAGCCATGCCCAGTTACATATTCACAATGATGAATTTGTTTCAATGGCATTTTTACTGATTGCATAAGATTTGGTTGAGCGCTGGAATGAAAATAAAAGCAGAGAATGTGGGCCTATGTGGGCCACATTGAGTCCATTGGTCTGGGACTAAGATCCTGCAAAAGGAAGGAACCACACCCCAAAAGCGCAAAAATTTATTCTCCAGGACAAGAAGTGTTGGATTGAAGCAATAACCGACAGGTATAATGCACCTTTGCTCTTCAACACGTTGTGGCACGAAAGCAAAGCCACGAAGAAAAGCAAGAACATCAATCAGAGGATGGGACCACGCGACATGAGCGCAAGGGTCTGTTGTCCGAGACAAAAAGCATTTGTGGAAGACTAAAAGCATTGGGCTCGGATCTGAAAGCATTGGGTCCAGTTGTCCATTTTCAAGTTTTATATATATGATATATATGATGATCCCATCAACTCTATTCAATTTTCTCTAACCCTGCCATCTTTCTTACCAACTTCACTCTTACTCATATTTAAATCCCACCATCCGCTTGCTTACTTCATCATGCCTCCACAAAGCCGTCAAAATCAAGCAAATCCTTCCATCTCCCCACCTGTCCGTCCGCCATCAGATATCTTACTTCGTCAAATCAGGAGATATCGAAAACCGGACTTTGTCCTCTCACCCAGGCCCCTGCAGTGTATTCCAACCCCTGTCCGCCACCGTGCTCCCCCCAAAGAATCAGTCAAACCTCCAATCCCGGAATCCACTCCCGACAAGGATCGATCCAAGAAGACAATCCCTCTGATCCTGCAAGATGCTAAGAACAACCCTTCACTCACCTCCTCTCGCAAACATACCTACCGTCCTTCGATCAAAGGATCTATTATTCTTGTGACCGACCAGACCAAGGTCCCTAAGCGCATTCCTCTCGCTTCCCAAGTCCCGGGCATGGAATGACTAACATTGACGAGGTAGATTTCATCGCTTTTTCTCTGGATTTGGATCCCTCTTACTGATTTCCTTTCTTTTTTGCGTCCGCGGTGATATCAGAGCGAATCTCTCGAAGGCTCTTTGATCGACGACAACTAGCTTTCCCTCACAACGAGTCATCAGGTTTATTCCATGAGATTTTTATCATAATGTATGTAAATTGGTACTGAAACAATACTGAAACACAGGTCTTTTCCAGCTATCTTTCCAATCTTTATCTTCCTTCAACTTTTCGATCACGTTTTTTCATTCTCCTCATACTTTGTTGAAAAGACCTAAAAACGTGAAAACAAAACCAGACGCTCATAGGTAGTCTTACATGTATGCAGGCCTTTCCCTACAACCATCACCGTTTAGACAACTGTATATACTATAAACCTGGTTTCATTTCTGAAGTTGTCTTTTTTGGTCTTTTCTACATATTTCATTGAAGGACTGTGCAATTCTTGTGTGGTTGTTTTTCTTTCAGCTTTTGGATGCTTTCATCCGTGCAATGTCATGTAAGATGCTGGATATACTGAGCTTACAAAATTTAGTTCTTGGCCAATGCCGTTCAAGATTCCAAGTATACCGTATCCGAACGGAACCCACATTAAAAGAGAATACTAAAGCAGAAAAGCCCTTAAAAATCACTCATTCAATAGCTCATAGGCCATATTCCAAAACAAACTGAGCAAACACACACACACGCACGCGTATATACACCGAGCTACAATTGAACAAAAATTATACAAAGATAATTTCAACTAATTTGTTTTTTTTTGTTTTGAAAAAAGATTAAATAATTGATCAAGTCTTTGTTTTCGATTGATAAGATATTCTGATATAAAAAAATCAGGATTTAAACAAGCCATATGTATGTGTGAATCAAAATTGCAGAAATAAGGCGTTTGTCATGATCATTTGATCCTCCAAAGGAGCATTCCGCCATTTGTACAAAACCTTCAATATTGAATAGAATCAATGAAACAAGTTTATTCCCAAATCAATTTCCCTTTAAAACCCCCCAACATCAAATCATATCAGTTTAAATATTAAACTTCGAAGCCAATCAGAGTGAGGATAAAAAAACTTACCGTCATCAGCAATCGAAGCTTTCATCCCACCACTGACTTCCTTAGACTTGCTAGATCGATTATTAGAAGCACTTGAACTTTGCTCATTCATTCTAATTCTTTCTTGTTGACGTTTATGAGCTGAAAGTCTACCAAGTCTTTCAGCTTCTTCAGCTTCCTTGGCTGCTTTTGCGGCTTCTTTCTTTTTAGCATTTTGTCGTTGACGTTTGGTGACTGCTGTGGTCGTATTACTCGTAGATGAACCAGGTGGTCCTGTTGCATTGGGAGTGGATACCGTACTCATTTTTAATGTTATACTTTTTGGTCCACGTGATTCTGTTATTAGAGATCAAATAATTCGAATCAGTAAATGTTTACAGACGATTTAATAAATTCTTTGGACACGGGAAGGAACTATACGAGGACTCTCTCACTCTTTCCATCGGGAACCTTTTCCCAACCATCTTCAACTTCAGTTTCTTCAGCTAAAGAAGAACCAGAAGATTCTTCTACAATCTTCATCACTCTTGCCATTTTTATCGGTTTTTCAACTTCCTCATCAACTACACAAACAAAAAGACAATTTTTATGATTAGTTTTGATACAATCTTTTTTAGAAAATCTAACTCTTTTTGAAAAATCGCTCAAGACTCAACTCATATCATCTACTTTCGTCTTACGCGCAGGTACTTGCATCCGTTCGGCATATGGTCTAGTAGGATTAGATTCACCCTTCTCAACTACCTTCTCCTTCGATTCCGATGAATTGCCTTTCCCATTAGAAGAACCAAGTGCAGGGACTCTTTTTCATCAAGACTATCAGGTGTAACCTTCTTCAAACCTTTATCGTTTTCTTTTCCCTTCTTCTTCGTTGAGGCTGGTTTGCTCACACTAACCGACTCTACTTTCTTTTCTTCTAAACTAGGACTGGGTAAAGCAGAAGAAGAAGTGGTAGAACTTTCATTCTGTTTAGATTTGGGTTTTTTCTTTTTATTTCCTTTTGATTTGTTAGTTGACTCCTTGTTGAGAGATGAAGTTGGTGATGATGATGAACGTGTTTGAGAACCAGCTAATGCTACACCTCCTATCACTCCGGCTGTAAGAGCTACCAGAGCTAAATCGGTCCATGAAAGAGTGATGGTAGGCATTCTTGAAGAAAAGATGTCGGTTTTTTGGACTCCGCGTGTTTCAGTTCGGATTCGTAGGCAAGCTTGTCGTGTAAGTCACTGGATACAAAGGGAAAATATGATTAAAGGTTCGAATGCTTTGATGATAGCTTTGAAGGAAAGTTGGTTATTGAAGATGGTGAATGGAATGTCGATGTTGATGTTGTTTGTTGAGAAATTGAGACTTTAGATCGACGTGTTAGTTAGTGGGTCATGAGTGACGTGCCCAATGCCAACGTGGTGGTGAAACATGTGTACAGTACCTAGGAGGCCGCTAAGGGCCGCTACTGTACTCAAGGGGCCAATCAGCACTAGGGCCGTGACCCGCCTCGGCCCCGGACGGACGAGTCTGCCCGACGTCTTTTTGAAGGCACACGGTACAAGCCCTGACACATGTGATTGGGGTGATGAAAGCCCTGCGGGCACCTCGAGCGGTGCCGGGCCGCTCAAGGCTTGCTGGATCTTTCCTGTGTCAAAAAAATGTTTCTTTCTAAATTTCTTCCTGTAGCTCTGTTTGATTTTGATGAAGGCTCATATATGAAATCTACATTTTTGTGCATTAAATCTGCATTATTAATCATTTTGTGCATCAAGCTCAATCATTTTTCACCTTGGAGAACATTATATTTGCAGTGTTACCAGCTTGAGGTTCTTGTGGAAGATTTTGATGATGGCTGTTATTATGCAATGGTCTTAGTATGTCACAATCACTATTTCCAACCACCTTTTTAAACTGAAAAAGTAGAAGATTTGAGCCTTATATTTCATCCATTCTACCAAACTCATGTTGGTTGCATGAGCAAGTTTTTTTTTATATGTATGGTGGGTAGTGCCTAAACGCGTGAAATCGGGTATTTTGAGAAAAAAGTTCATGAAGCCCACAAAATTGATCCAATTTTGAAGCCAAGGGTAGATTTGGAATCCTCACATCAATAGGAATCCAAAATTGTATTGAACATGTTGTTTTTAACAATTTTTACAGTAGAGAAAGTTCTTTTCATCCAATGGAGTTTTTGATAAATCAGCTTTTTGGCCGTACTAACCAGCCCGACATTACACGCTTTTAGACACTACCCACCATAGAATTCACTCACACCAATGACATTTTGTATTCTTAATGCAATCTCAATATATTTGGATAAAGAAGTGAAGTTACATATGAAATCCCATACATATCAAAGGGGGGTACAAATTTAAGTTGATGTAATAGTCAGTTACAAATGGATCTACCAGCATCAGTGGGAAAAATATAAGACTTGTGTGTATGGGCAGGCAGAAATCAAGATGGTTCAACTTGCATGAAGATATTCTGTCAGGAACTTTAGGGAACTACTTACACAGTTTGAAGGCATGGCACTGATACCACTTCAAAAAGTTCTAAGTTGTACAGGAGGCAGAAATTAAGCAAATTCTCAGAGCACCAAAGAAGATTGATGCAACACTTCCAAAGACAGAAGGAAAGAAAGTGATACATTTGAAATACCTCCTACACCTGGTTATGGAGCTTTCAAAAGGTGGAGCAAAAGAAATTGGCATCATAGACAAAATTCTTGTTGTGTTCTGGAACTTGGCACACTAAGCTGAAGTGATAAGAGATAAACACAAGTCATCAGAAATCATCAAAAAGTCAGATATCAAGATCACATCAAACAAAAAACTTGCATATCACTTAGAGTTGCTAAAACAGCAAAAGCGGGGGAACTTCAAATCTTCCAATCAAAACACCCAAACCGTATTTCATGCCCAATAGCAGCAATACAAAGAATATTTGCCCAAACATCTGACAATGACAACTTTGTCTTTAGGTACATGCAAAATGGGTCCTGTAAGACATTGGAAAATCAAGCAATAACCTCAACATGCCAGCAGCTATGGAATTCAGGAGGTTTTAAAGGGTTGACTGGACATTCTTTCAGAGTAAGCAGTGTGTCTTTTTGTTTTTTCTAGAAATACCCATTTCAAATATATGCAAAATCAGTAGGTGGAAATCTGCTTTTATGTTCAATTTCTGACTACATACTCAAAGAAAGAATCATCAGAAACTGAAGAGCTGACATATGAGGTAGACCAACATAATCCAAAGTAGATTTATACCACAAAGGTCAAACTCACAAATGGATGAAGAAAATATCAAGATTTTCTTGGAACAGGCAATAAAACCTGAATGGTTTTGGGTTTTGGGTTTTGGGTTTGAGAGGCTCAGTCCTGTCAGACTTGAGGATAGGGTTATCACAATCTCAACCAGAAATTGCTTGATTAAAGGCTTGAATCAGTTTGTTTCAAGATCTCACTAATGGGTTCTTCGATCCTAGAGTCATTTCCTAAGCTCAGTTTGAGTCATCATCAAATGCTATAAAGAATCAACTGCTTCAGAGCATCTCAGACATCTTAACTGGAAAGACTCACCAATTTCCTTTGAAACTCTCAAAAAAAGAGTTTGCACAAATGTGGGTTTTAGCAAACCCAAACACTGGTAGTTTTGGACATTTTGTTGGGACTACCTAGAGCTGATGCTACGTAACTCAATAGAAGAGTTAGTATCTACTCAAAAATACAATACAGAAGTATAAGATTACAGAAGATAAAAAGTGGAATTCAAGATACTTGAATCAAAAGATAAAAGAAGTACCTGAATTATCTCACATCACAAACACAGATTACAAATTATCCAGAGTCCAAACCAAGAAAAGTATGAAATTTAATCTTGGCTTTCAAAAGACTTTAGATTTCAGAAAGGTCAATCAGTGGTGATAAAATTGAAGTTATCACCTGTGTATTCCTGAATGGAGTTTTGAACAATGCTGTTTAACCCAAACCCTCTCTGTTATCTCATCCCTGAACAGCAAATTTTGATGCATTGAATATTTAGAATCATAAGTTTACAAGGGAGTAAGTCAACATCCATATGATGACCATGGTAGTGAAATCAACATATTGGAGGTACATGGTAAGCAAGATATGATACAGGATTCAAGTGAAAGGGAACTTCCAAACATAAGAATTCCAAGCTGATGAAGATGACCTCCTTGATCAATAATGATGGGCTCAAGCTACGGGAGAGTGTTGGTAGATCTAGATTGTATCATGGCAAGGGATCAACATCAGATTTGTGACTCCCTATTCCTGTTGTCAACTTTGAAAACGAAATAGGAGGATTGGAAGGAGTGACAGTAGTCCCTCGGAGATTGTATAAGATTAAGAATAAGGCTCTTTGAAATAATTGATGTCAGCTTTTTTGATATTTCAACTACAAAAGGAATATCAACTCTACTCACATGTTTCCCAAGATTGCAACGGTAACATTTGGTCCCTGGAAGATTTCAAAAAAAAATGGTCAGAGAAGAGGAATCGGACATAATTTTGAAGAAAGATAGAAGCACAATCCGAACGATAAGCCAAAAGTTTGGGTCAAACATGAAAGCACCCTTGCGAATTAAGCTCCTCTAAAATGACAAATACCCCAAAAAGGTAAATCAATTACTAAATTTGAAAGCATTCAAAAGAAGAAGAGAAAGCATACTGCACAGACATCCAAAACCAGTATGGATAATATAATTGTGAATTCTAATAAGGTGTTGGCAAAGACTTCTTTTTGCTGTCTCCTTATTGAATGATCCAATTCTGTTTGATTGGTAAATATCTTGGATAATAGGAAAAGGAATGGAACGTAAAGCTAATGAAAGATCGAGTCAAAAATTTAAGATTGTGGATCCTTAGATATAGATAAGGATCTCACCAGAATGAGAACTCCACAAAAGAATATATAAAAGTCTAAACCCAATTGGTTGTACTTTACCACAAGATCCTAATTGAAGAAATACAGTCATCAGTCCATGTGCTGATCAGTTTTAGGAAAAGATCTTACAATGTGATGGTAGGCCGGTGTGAGTGAAAGGATTTGGAGAACCACTTCATTCACGCTACATGTAGATAAGGCGCAGGTAGAAGCCGACTTCCGCAAGATCTCAATGACAGGACTCAATAATTGTGTGATACGGCGATATTCCAGGTTGAGTAACAAGAATGAAATGAAGATTGAAACTGGGATTTAAAAAAACTTCAGAGAGCGTACATCAAGAACCATTGCATTGAACGCGTAAGCTGACCATTTGACACAAAGACAATCATCCCCAACAATATGTTCAGCGCCCATGTCACAGTGGTTGGAATCAATTTGCCTACCGGAGTCATGCGTCGTGAAACTGTTCTCTGCTTGACCAATGCATAATGGCAAATACATAGCCACAGGATTACTGAATGATGGTACATTGATGTATGTAAGATGGGTATTCAATGCGTATTTACTGATTTGCATAAGATGAAAGAAACTGACCACTATATGATGTCGAAGCAAGTCAGTTCAATAAACAATGGATCACATTAAACCTGATGAAGTCTCACCTGGCGCATGCAATTGTAAACATCAAGTTAATTCCGAGTATGAAATTTGGTCCTCCCTGGTCTAGATGGCCAGATTGTGCAATCTCTCCCCAAACAATTTCAGTCATGGCGACTAGTTTGAAAGCAGATACGTTGAATTATTCTGTCGAGGTCTCAAGAAGTCGTGAGGCAAGATTTGCTTACGTATACTGTATAGAAGGTAACACAATCCACAGTGGTTTGCGCGATCGAGTTGTACCAGTCCTACTAAAGTGTGGATTGAGCTTTTCTGCCAAACATATCAGAGTAAGATGATCATGACTGCATATCCACTCACTAGCATTCAAGCCGATATGATATACTTTTTTCGTCTTCGAGCGAACATAAAGAATGTAAGCGGATTGAAGAAACATTCTACCATAGAGTCCATCCAGTTTTGAATATGATGTCAGCTAAAGTTTCAACCTCTGTTTTGTTTCATCTACATATATTGATCAGGAACAACGAATTCTCACACCAAAAACGCTGCAGCAACAACGCGCTGAACGTAGGGTGACCAAGAGGGCAAAGCACGTGGCTTTGGATATAGGGAGACAAAAGTTAGGTCAGGAAAGATTGTTATGACAGACCGCAGATTCTGAACAAGTGAAGGAATCAGTGGGGGGCAGCAAGACGCACCTGAAGGAAGGCTACGAGGTAATCAGCTGTCGCCTGATATGGGTTGATGTCTGGAGATTTCATCAAGTGGATGACGAAGTCGATGGTCTGCTCTCTGATGATTTGAGACATAGCAAGGAAGATAATATTGGCGTCTGATAAGATAAGATGTCACTACTTGACTATATCTTATAGAACACAAAACCTTTCGAGGTCCGGTCAATGGCTGGGAATCAATCCACACACGAGTCAGATTTTAATTTGATACACCGGTTACACAGTCTTGAAAGAATGGTCTCTTCAACAGGTCTCGAACATTCGGTTGAACGTACTGAAAGATGGAAGGCTTCGATCTGTGCAGTAGAGCGTCTGGAACTTAATTCCGAGACCTTGTAGAGTTTAAAGGGTTTCAACTCTTAAAGTGGTAGCAAAAGGATGGAAGAGTCGTAAGGCATGCGAGTCAAATGATCACTTCGAGTTCCATCAGACCCTCAGTACAACACTTAATTACTTTCCTTGGGGCTCAGACTCACAGATTTCCCCAATCCCGTGGTCTGAAGACAGTCGAATGTTGCATTTATCTGGCATCATATAGTCAAGATTGAACAGTGGCATTGAATAACCGAATTCGATACACAAAATTGCTTTTGAGCGAAAGCCCAGATCGGGGTCTCGTCTGCACATCCCAGGGCTTTTGCCATCCGCACAGCATCTTGCAGATGCAGTGAAGATGTCGCACCGTGGTATAGCATCAGAGGCCCAAGCTGACGTCCTGGCGCTCCGTCAGGACAATCGCTCTTGGGAATCGGAGTGTCCTTGTCGTGTTTTGATCATCATCCAAAACAGTCAGATTTTGGATTTTGAAGAAAAGGGTTCATCGAGGTTGCCGTTCATCAATCATAAAATGTAATCAATATTTTGATCTTTAGCACGGATCTCAGACTCTGGGCCATTTAGGGGATACAAAGTAGAAAGCCGGGCACGTGCCCGGGCATGTGCCCACAAGTCCAGATCCCAATTTTACAGCCAAAATTCGGGATGTGGACTTCCGGGCACATGCCGGCTTTCTACTTTGTATCCCCTAATTATACATGGTTCCAGAAATTTACCATAAACCAAGAATTATTGATAGAAACTCAGGGCGCATTGACTTCAGCAATTTCTGGCATTCTGCAAAATTGAAAGTGCTGGTTTGGTGGAGTATGTTTCATTTTTACATTTTAAAATTTCCAGAATACAATTTCTGGTCAGAATTTGCATTCTGCAAAATTTAAAGTGCTGGTTTGGTGAAGTATGTTTCATTTTTGCATTTTAAAATTTACAGAATGCAATTTCTGATCAGAATTTCCTCAAGTGAATGCGCCCTTTACTAACGCCTTTCCCAAAGTCCCGCTGCTCCTCAGAAATTTTCAACATGTAAACTTTTTTCTACATTTCTCTTGTACGTATATAGTATGGATTTCTGAGGAGTTAGAAAGAAAAGGAAATCTAAATTCAGCACAGCTTGTTCAAGCCTAAGAGCGCGTTTACTTTAGCGATTTCTCGTGAGAAATCACATTCTTGAAATCCAAGAAATCGCATTTCACAGAATGCGTTTGATAACTTAATTACAAGCATTCTTGAAATCCGAGAATGCTTATAAAAAGACTTTTTCTAGCACATTCCAAGAATCTTTTCTCTAATTTGGACAAGTCCCCTTTCACCGTACGGAATCCCACACACCCCTCAAAACCCATCTTCTAACACCTTCCACTGCCATCTCTACTCGTCTATGTATCTCATACCCATCTTCTAACACCTTCCACTGCCATCTCTACTCGTCTATCTATCTCGATTCCCATCTACTCATCGTCGATCAACTCAACCACTTGACTCAAAATGCCTAATTCCGATAGCGACGACAACGTCATTGTTGAGCCACCTTCAAAAGCAAAACCAAAGTCGAAATTGAAAGCAAAACCAGCCGATAACAAGATTATTAAAGTTAAAGATGTTAAAGTTAAAGATAATGATCAGGTTCAGGAGAGCGCTACTGGTGGTCAATGGACTCATCATCAAACACTTTATCTTATTGACGAGTTCAAGAAACAACTGGACCTTGGAAAAGGAAACGACGGCGGCATCAAGACCAATGCTTGGAAACAAGTTTTGACTAACTATAACGATAAATTCAAAGTTAACGAGCCTTTGACCCGATTAAAAAACCGTATTCAAAAGGTTTTGTCCTTTCTATCTTATTCATAATCTTTCACTATGTAATCAAACTAACTAATGAATATAATGCTTTGATATTCAGTTAAAGACAACCCTCAAAGCTCTCGAAAAGATAATGGATACTTCGGGCGCTCCTGGAGTAGATACAACTAGCGGGATAGTCAACACTGATGACAAATGGTGGGACCATTGGATTAAAGTAGTAAGTTTTTATCTTAACTTTCATATGTTCAACTTTCATCTAATCATCTAATCATCCTATCCTTCGATTAGGCCGGTAATCTCGATGCAAGACCGATTCGGAACGGTGGATTTCCAGTGTATCAAGCTGTAGCCACCATCATGCCAGAAAAGCATCTGAGAGCGAATGGTGCTGAAGGCTTTGGAACTCAGAGTAAAAAGAAGAAACAACCATCACCAAGTCAATCAATTGAGGGTGTTGAAGGTAGGCTTCTGTTTCATCTGTATATACTTGATTGGATTTTCAATACTGATGGCTTTCATTCATTTGTTAGATCATGTTGCATCTGAACACAAGTCAAATGAAGATGACAATCACATGTCCAACTCCGAAAAGGACTCGGTTGTTGGGGAGATTGGAGGTGCGAGACCAGCTTCTTCACAAAAGAAGAAGAAAACTCCTGTGTGTATCAAATTTCATGCATTTCATTCATTTCAATCGATTCACTTCTAATCATTCATTTCAATCATTCATTTCAATCATTCATTTCATTCACTTCAATCAACTCAAATCATTCATTTCAATCAATTCACTTTCAATCATTCAATCGATTCACTTCAATTAATTTAATCAATTCACTTCAATTAATTTAATCGATTCACTTCAATTAATTTAATCGATTTACTTCAAATCATTCACTTCAAATCATTCACTTCAACTATTCAACTATTCAACTATTCAACTATTCAACTATTCAAATCATTCAATTTATTCAAATCAATTCAAATCATTCAATTTATTCAATTCAATTCAAGAAGCGCAAGTTTAAAAATAAGTACGCTCTCACAGCCGCTGAAAAAGCCATGGACAGCGACAGCAATGACGAGACCCCAGAATTGAAATTTGCCCGTAGTAAGAGGAGCCCAGTCGTCCCAGAAGGATCAACTGCACCTGCCAAACGATCACGCCTCACTGGACCGAAGCTAGTCGCACAATCAATCAATTCAGCCATTGATCGAGTATCAGGGCTAGAGGAACAACATGAAAGCGATAAGGTAACTATTGCTAAAATTAAATTAGAGCAACATCCAATGAGGCAAGAAGCCATGAGCATTTTTAATAAGGAGTGTAGTAAAGAATTAAAACCTAAACATATCATCAAAGTGGCTAATGAATTAAAAAAAGATGATACTGCTTCTTTTTTCTTTCACATGGATAAAGCTTACAGGTGGGATTGGTTGAAGAGTGAAGCTGGAATATTAGCAGAGTATCAAGAGGTAGATGAATAATTATGTATTTCATTTTCCTTTATTTCCTTTTTTGTATCTGACAACTCAAACAAAAGATTACATATTTAAAGATAAAAAACATTTCCTATTTTGTATCTGAGAACTCAAACAAAAACAAAACATGTATGCCATATGCTATAGTAATTAAATATTGCTATTTTCTTTTTAATGATGATGAATTGATGAATAAGATGAGACTTGCAAAATTCATAACTAAAAGCTCCAAAAGAGATCATGAATACAAATATTACATAAGATTCTAGGCTTGCCTACGCGCCACAGGTGCATTAACATAATCATAGAACATCCTTTCAGCAATTTGATCTCTCTGTTCAGATGCTTGAGTACGCTGGGTAGGGTTAGGCTCAACCCAGTCAGGATCCATGTTATTACCACCTAATCTGTTCTCCAATCTTTCTTTCAACATATACTCTTCGTAAAATTCATCTTCGCCGGTTTCAATTCGTATGATATTATGTAGTACACAACAAGCAATGACAATCATTACTTGTATCTTGTAAGGATAGGAAGGCATCGAAGCTAGGATCGGAAACCTCATCTTTGATACACCAAAGATCCGTTCGATGATGATTCGAAGTGAGGAATGGCGATGGTTAAACAGCTCTTTAGGTGTCTGGGGTGTGAGACCGGAGTGTTTCCACTCCTTGAGGTGATATCGCACTGCTCGATAAGGGGCAAGAAAGCCAGGTACGTTGGCGTATCCAGCGTCGGCCACATAGAAGCGGTCTGAAAAGGATTGACAAATAAAAAGTCAATATGAATCAACTTGATATCAAAGTGAATGGCTTACCTTCTGGAACTACAAACCGTTGTTCTTCAAGGGCTCGGTGAAGAACACGCGCGTCGGCATGAGATCCTTCTAAACCAGCATAAACGAAAGTAAACAACATGTTGAACGAACATCCGGCTAGGACATTCTGGCTGAGATCGCCTTTTCGGTTTCGATGAGGCGGATGACGGCTAGGTGGAACTACACAAGGAATATGGGTGCCATCAATGGCACCCACACACTTCTCGAAATAGGGGTACATTCGAGGGTTGTTCTGAATTTCCTTTGGGCAAACCTCACCACCGGTAGGTTGTACTATGTAAATTGACTCAAGCGATGCAATTGCGTTGCAAACATTATTAAAGTACTTGCTGATGGTGTGTCCAGACCGTTGGAATCGTTCGCCAGCGAGACAATTCGTGCCGGAGTTACCAACAATGAATAAGAAGATCAAGACTTGTTCTTCCACCGTGACGCTTCGTTTCCGATGGATGACAAGCTTGCCTTCAAGAGCTTTCATCAAGCCCTTGAAGGCGAGCTTGTCCATGCGACAAAGTTCCCGAAATCGAACATCGCTGCCTTCGAGGATCTCTTTCGTATATTGATTTCCTCAAAGCTTCGATGTTCTACATGGGATCTTCGGGCTTGATATCGATTCTAGGTAAGATTGGCCAGCTTGTATGATTGACTTTAGAAGCTGCATCGGACGTCGAAAGGATGACTGAGATGAATCATCAGAGGCAGTATCGGAAGAATCCGACATGGTGAGGAGGATAGGAAGATGATGGTCATTGGGATCAGAAAAGTGATCCTCATGATCACTTTTCTATCGATCTGTCCTTAATGCTCATATAAGCAAACGCTTTATTCATCTCTTTTTCACAAATTCTCAGAAAACCTGAAATTTCGGTTTTCTGAGACAAAAACGCTTTTCTACATGTAGAAAAGCGCTCACACAGAACTCGATTTCTAGAAATCGGGACTAAGTAAACGCGCTCTAAGGGAGTGTAGTTCATTAAAGTTGGAATACAAATCCATCCCTAAAGTTCTTGAATAGATTGTCATGCCATGATATCTTTCTTGCCTTTAAACTCATCAACTTTGATATGTTGTTCCTTGAAGTGTTTAAACCTCCTTGATCTGTGAAGGGTTAGTTTAGATTCTGGACCATACATACACGAATACCATTATTCAAGTTCCTCAACACTTGATTTGAGTGCTCAAAGTCAAAAAAGTGAAACATTCTAATTTCTAATATGAAGGTAAAAAAAGCAAGATATAAAGATATATAAGTATATATATATGAAGAAAGCATCTCACATATACAATTTTGTTTTTCTTTCATGCTTTTCCCCAAAAAATCAAAACAAAAACAAAATAATGAAAGAAAAGATTTTGTTGTTTTTTTCGTTGCGAGAGCGCCATTGTTTTCTTCATATCTGATTTCAAAACACACACACACACACGTCTTTTGCATCCAATCATTTCAATCAATTCAATTCAATCAATCACACAAACAAACAAAAGAACATTAACTTTTATCATCAACGGTGTGTGATCTTTTTTCTTTCTCTAGTTTCAATGCTATGAATCAAAGAGTAGTAATTTAAGTTTTTGAGTTTAACTTAAGCTAGGGAACGCATTGGCGTCTTCAGCATTAAATTCTTTTGCTCTACCACCATTTCCACCACCATTCCCACCAAATCCACCTCTTCCTCGACCACCTCGACCACCACCACGTCCACCACGTCCAAATTCTCTTGGTTCACCATTATCTCTTCCACCACGTCCACCACCACGTCCACCACGTTCACCTCCAGTTCGTGGTGGTCGGTATCCCAATGGTTCAACTTCAATATAAGTCTTTTCCTTGTTCTTCTTGTTGCTAGAAGCGTTGCTGGCTTTCTTTTCCTGTAAGAATGAAAGTTACACAAAAATCAGCTGAGGCCAACTCGAGTAACAAATGAACAGAAAGATAAGTTCATACCTTGTTAACTTGGAAGAAAACCTCTTCCTGTTCAGCACCTTTGACTAATTGAACGGCACCTTTCCATTGACTTTCATCCGCACCTTCATTAGGTTTTCGTGCTTCTTTCTTGCCAATCAAGGGACTGATAGCAGCAGCTTTCTCAGCTAGGTATTCTTCAAAGGTCTTTGTTTTGTCTTCTTCTTCAACAGGTTTTTCATTGCTGTCAGGAGTACCGGCCTCGCCTGCTCCCCAATCGGCTTTTCCGTTAACGGCTGGTGAACCTTCTTCGGTCTGAATAAGGCGATTAGGTTAGATAACATTGTAAATTGACAATTTGAATCGCGTTAAAATAAAGACGTACCACACCAGCGCCCCATCCTTCATCAGCACCTTCAGGTACTTTGGGCGAGATGGCAGCCTAAACAAATTTGTAAAGGACATATCAGAGTTAGCCATTCGATACAGATCAAGTCAAAGTGCACAGCAACATTAGTATATAAAATTATTCGAACCTTGGCATCACCCCATCCTTCGGTCTCAGCTTGAAGTTCTTGTTTACCTTCTTCGGCACCCCAGCCTGAGGCGACTTTACGATCAGTGTCGCTGTAGAATAAAAGAACGAGAACCTTGATGAGTTCCGGATGACACGTCATATAAAGCAAGCCAAAATGACTGACTGAACACCAGTGGTGCTGTGACGGTCAGGGCGATCATCAAATCGACCACCACCCCGACCTCGGCCTGCACCTCGGCCGCGACCACCACGACCACGTGGGCCACCACCTCCACCACGACCTATGCAATCAAAACACAATCAGATTAACGACTATACAGATCAAGAAACCGATCCGATAGATCTCCACTCACGTTCACCTCGATCATCACGACCATTGTTGGTGAACCCAGCGGCTTTAGCACCGATCACTTCGACTTCACCGATCGGAGCAGCACTAGGTGCACCACCATAAACCTTTCGGGGTCCACCTCGGGATGGGTAATCACCTCGATCACGCTTGGGTTGCTGTTGGGCTGTGTTGGGTTTCTTCACAGGAGCAACGGCTGGGGTTGGTGCTTTGACCATTGGTCGACCTCCTTCATCATCGGAGTCACCTATATATCCAGAAAAAGGTTTAGTCAGTAACTTGATCGGGATCGATATCGAAAACGGAAAAGATGAAGTGAATTGATGATAGCTTACCTCCGCTCAGAAGAGCAAATGGGTTCGAACTGATCGTCGACATTAGGTTTGTTTGAGTGGCAAAGGTTTTTCAAGGATGGTAGGGAGATGTAATGATAGAGGGAAGTCGAATTGGCTGCTTTTTACTGGTTAAAGCAGCTCGCAAACCTTACTTCTGTTGAATTAGAAACCCAAAGTTGAAATAGCCAAAAAGAAAAAAGGAAAAAAGTGTAAGTCCGATGAAAAAGGGTTGTTAATGATCAAAGGGTTTTGGTAAAATGAGAAATACGGTTTTTGAAGTGAATCAGAAGACAAGGTTTTGAAAGAAAGAAAAAAGGAATCGATTTGATTGAAGGGACAACGTACCAGATCGGTAATGTTCAATGCGTGAAGTAAGAGAATAAAAAAGATTTCTAGCCTCGTTAATCTTCAAGTTTAGCTGACTTAAAGGTGTGTTTCCTTGCAAACTCTTTTCTTGAACTGAATCGAGTCTTGTACGCTAAAAGTTGATGTTGATGATAGACTCAGAGGGAACAAAGGTTTCAAGTGGTGTAGCAATAAAGATTTCTGTCAAGCTTTTCGATTGAAATTCTCTTTACCACAACTTCAACTTGATCGTGTCTCTGTCACCAAATCAGTGGCAAAACACTCAATTCCAAAACTCAGGTGTCACCAAAACCATTTCGTTGCCAACTCTTTTAGGTCAAAATGGTCTTGTTCAAAATTCTGATATATTCATCACTTTATCAATGCAATCCTTTCTTTTTATGTTGGCCAATCTATTGAAGTTTAATCATACCCAGCCCATGATTCATAAGGGTCTCTTTGATGGATGCGGTTCGGTCTGTGCACTCGTGACATATTTCTATCCAATCTCACCATCTGCGCGTCATTTTCCCCGAAGTAGCAAACCTATATGTCAGCCCGCAGCAATCTCACGTGAGGTTTGCCTGGCACCGCCTCGCTCGACCACGGTTCACGTCCTGTGACAGGTGAGCCTCTGTGAACCGTGAGGCATGTCACGGTTTCGGTCCAGCCTGGTCCACTCAAACGGCAAGCAATGGGAAGATGCGGCACCCGCACGGGCAAGTCATGAATGAAGAATTTCAAATTGAGTCTTGGAGTTGTTTGAATCATCAACGAGTTCATCAAATTCATTCAAACAGCGAATACAAAAATCTATCCCAACAGTCACGTCACAAACATTAGACATTACAAGACAATGAGCAAACAACAAGTTAAGCAAGTTAATAGAAAACAAAGATGAAAACAAGATTAAAACAATTATAGATAGATGCGATAGATATTCGAATTTAAAGAGTTCAATTGCTAAATAGTGTAAATCGAAACAAAAAATGAATAACAAAAGGGAAAAAAGTTTATAGGAAGATTGAAAACCATGAAATCAAACCAAAGAAAACCAAAATACAAAATTTATTTTTCTTTGAATTAGGAATAAATTGATAAGTATTAGTAGCAGAAGAAACCATGACTGTAACAGTTGCAACAGCAGGACCTAAAGTGATCGTACGAGCTGGTGCATCATTTGACCATGTACTTTTCGTCCCGAGCGAAGAAAAAAAACAAGGAGACCGAATGAGTTTGATGATAAATTTCGGAAAAGCAAAAAGAAAAAAAAGAAAGATTTGGGAACATACGCATTTTTGTATGGTGGTCCATTACACATATTAGAAGAAATGATTTGACATCTACATTGAGTACAAGCTGAATCCATACAATGAGCGTACCAACCATTTTGTTGAACTAGAAAAAAATCCAATCAACTAGAATTAGTGTTTTTTCTTTTATCAAATGATTGAAAGAAACATTTTTTGGGGAAAGCTTACAATTTGGACAAACTGAATTACATGCCATATCAGACCAACAAGCGGAAACAGAACCAGGATCAATAATCGGCCAACCACCAGTACTAAGTTGAGTATTAGTAGGAGGAGGAACAGTCAGAGTTACAACTACAGGTGTAGCAACTGCAGCCTAATCATCAAAAAAAAGGTAAACTCATCAATCATCAATCCAAAAAAGGGAAAAAAAATCTTGCAGATATGAGAGGCAGGAAATACTTAACTATAGGTATAACAGTTACAACAGTAACGATTTCAAGTGCGATAATCACATCTTGTCGTTTCCATAAACTTGGTTTAGATAATGCTACATCTAACTCGGTAGTTTTGGTTGGGAAATCGGTTTGAGTAGGTAAGAATGGGAATAGTTTTCCTTGACCTCTGAAAGGGGTTTGGAATTGATAATTTGGTAATGGGACTTGGAATGATGGTTTGACTGTTATTGGGGTCGGAATTGTTGGAGTGGTTAGGTTTGTTAATCCGAACATTTCGGTCTCTTTAAGTTGAGTTATCTTTTTTTGGAATTCGGGATTGATTGGATTATTCGATCGCTCGTTCGCTTCGTTGTTATGTGTTTTGGTGGTTTATCTACTTTTTGGTGGTGAACGTGGTATGTATAGAAAGACTCTTTACTGAAAAAGTAGAAACAGTGCGAAAAAGAATAAGACATCAAAAACTTCACGTCGACTTTTGAATTCAAACACTACAAAGAAAACAACTTACCAAAGGAAATTTTGCGTGATATGGGGTTCGTGAAATTCAGAAGATGCTTTTTGTACTGCAACTTGTAGAAGATGAAATCAAGAACAAAATCTGAAATTTATTAAGATTTTTTTAAAGTTTGGAAGAAACTTGATCGAACCAAAGCATATGTAGTGTCAAGAACGCGTCTTGTTTGTTTGTTTTGATTTGTTTGTTTATTTTGTATGTAGTTCAAAACCTTGGCGCGACGATCACGTGATTCTCAAAACATTGGGGCAGATCATGACTCATGAGCGGCTAGGATGAGAGTACAATGCGAGTGCGTGCGAGTCCAAGTGGGTGCGGGTGGATCTAACCGCTCCGACGCAGCTGCTTGATTTGTTCGCTTTGGGCCATGGAAACACATGAGGCCCCTTTCTGGAATCAAATCCATATACTGTCACACAACATCTCACCATGTCACCGCATTCAGCTGAAGAGATAATTGAGTATTGCATCACTGAAGAACATCCTGTGGTGACTGACATACCTGCAGTGCTTTTCAAGAACTTTTCAGAAAGTCTTGAGAGTGCAATAAGTTGGCTCAACGTCAGAGTATCATACATTTGGCGGTCTGGCGTAGATAACTGGTCAACCAAATCACGGAGCAGCATGCCAGAAGCAATGATGAAGATTAAAGAGGATGAGGTATAGTGTTGTCTGATTTGCTTTGAATGTTCTTGAATGAGCTTTAAAAGTGGTTAGGGAAGAGTTGAAATTTTGATGGAATATGAGCCAACTTGTATGTTGGATGCTAATTTCTCCTTCCCATAAGTGAAGGCTTTGCAAGTGGGGAGGTTTTTGCACTGTTGGTAATTAGGTTGGGTTGATTGCATATCAAAGTGGGTCAATTCTCTCAAGCTTAGTCCTAAATCATTTGCAAATACTTATATATCCCCTCCCATCAGGGTACTGGAGAACCGGATCTAACCTCCCATCAAGGCTCAGAGGCTCATGTGGCTGAAAAAATTCAAGGATCAATTGTCTATAATGGGGTATTAGTAACATGGAACTTACTTGGTGGGTACTATAAGGACCATGTCATACAAGCATCACATGAATGATCAAGTGGGGGAATAGAGGAGCAATAGAAGTATTGGTGGATAGGATAAGGTCATGCAAATATATACAAAGCATTGGTCTGGCATTACACATTGGGCAATGTAGTCCTGACAAGCTGTACTGAATGTTCTCACATCATATACAGATGAGCAAGTAGCAACTGCTTCGTTGGGCTGTGTTGGGCCACTCACATCATACATGTGCCTGTTTTGCAAACACTTGCATGTTGTTTCCCCCTTCAAATTCTCTGGCTAGGAGTGGGTATTGGTAGGAGATCAACATACATTTGTCATTGCTCTGGAATCCACCAGTTCTCAGCTCAACTTTTCTACCTTTGCCAGAAAGCAAAATAATAATATGTGTTGTTGAGTTTTTGAACCAATTTCTCTAGTGCAACAGCCAATGAACCAGTGTTGGGGGACATTAGTGATTGGGCAACAAAGTCAGTGGACCAGCCTGTAAGCCCTCTGAGCATGATAATTTCATGGATTTAGCAATGCTCTACAAGTTTGTTCTGATTTCCCCCTACATACAACTTGTTGCAAAGAGCAAACATGTGAAAGGTGGCTTTAGCACATCTTCTGAGGTGGTCTTTTCAGGGACAGGTCTGGATTTTACGCAGAAATGCTCTGCAAGGATCTCAGATCATAGGAGCAATACACCACCCAACAATTCTCAGCTTCTTTTCAGAACAATAAAAACTTTGTGGTGTTTGTGGTCTTTTAAACAGGGATCCATGAGAACTCAAGCAGGTGTCCAAATGCACTGAATTGAAACCATCATCTCTGGGCCTGAACTTTTCTCAACCCCTCTTGATGATCTCAGTGTTCTTGAAGAGGGCTTTTTCCACTACTCTGAAAGTCAAGTTATCAACTCCAATCTAACTGGAAAAATAGGAGACCATGCAAAAGAATATTTCACTCACATACATTAATGTGTCTCACAAGGTAATTTTTACCTAAATATGTTCAATGGGAAGTCTACTCCAAGTTTTCCAAACTCATGGCCACCTCCAGAATGAGTTCTGATCTAACCTCATTGCATACCTACTTTCAAACCTGAGTCTCAAGTGATAAATAGATTTTTCTATTGGCTTGGAAGATATTGAGTGTGTCTTTAAAACTGTTAGGTTGTCCTTCATGGTACCTTTTTTACTTCAGTCTCAGATGTGTTAAATGGTGATGATGAAGGAAGAAACTCATGTTTCAGAATGTACCAATTAACCCTTCAAGGACCCAGGAGCGCAGCTCTAGATATATATGATGAAAGCTGTTTCTTTGGGCCTTGAGCTCTAAACTACTACACACCAGGACTTGCCTTTAGGTCTCAATCACCTGAAAAGATCTGCGTGCACGAGGGATATCAAAAAAAAATCAAGATCCTCTCCACTCGCCTTGCCTCACTGTGGCTTAAAATGTAAAAGTTATATAAATCATCACACAAATTCGTCTTGTGATTCTAATGAGTATGTGAAAAGTGCTTATGTTGATGTTTTATTATTAAATAATAAAGTCATCATACATATATATAATCATTTGCATGTTGTTTCAAGTCCAATCAAACCTTGCGAAAAAAAAATTAAAGAACTCGATCTGCGATTAATTAAAACCTTTGTTCAAGCTTATCATTTGGTTTTCAAATTTATTTACATACTCATCAAGCACATCTTTAGAATCCTGTATATACCATTGATATCGGGGTCGAAAAGTATCAGGTCGGCCCGTTTGAAAGATAACTCGGTATTTCTCGGTCCCGACTCGAATTCATTTCACCGTGCCTTCCCGAGGAGTGAGCTTTCGATCATCATCATCATCATCATCATCCCAATCGATTCTCAAGTCCACCGAAAGAAAACAAAAAGAAACCAAGGAACCAAAAAGAAAAGGAGCACAAACTATCATCAGATCAAGCATCGGAAAAAAATGTTATTAAACCTTTCTCAACGTTCGGTTCTGTTGGTTCGATCTTGTAGAACTAATCTACATAATGTACCAAGTTCAATCGTAAGTTTAAATTTCTTTTTTGATTTTCAAAAGAATTAAAAATAAACCGTCAAGAAGATACTCCACGAAAAAATCCAAACCACAAACCAAATGAAGTTTCGAATACTGACGATCTTACCTGAATCCAAAGCAGATCACATCCCACAGCAGCACCAGAAAAGCCTCCACCACCAGTCCCGATCCGATGAGCTTCAAACTCCCAAGCACAGAATCCGAAGTAGCCGAACTACTAGCCAGTTCCAAAACCCCGCAAGAAAGACGCGAGATCTTTCAAGCGCTTCTAGGCACTCAATCCAACCCTATCCCACCCTTACCATCGATACCTAAATCATCAAGCGGTGTACATTTAATTCCTATTGGTCGAAAGAAACTTACCACAGATCATACTGGAATCCAAGTCCATCATTCACCTTTTGAAGCTTTAAAAGAAACCTATTCAAATACACTTAAAACCTTACAAAACTTTCCAACCGCTTCAGTTTATCGTCAATCAGTCGAAAGTCTTACTCAACGAAACTTGGAGATCGTTCTTAAACATGAAGTGGGAAAAGCTGCTCATACTTCTCAAGAGATTGAAGATTCAATTAAAGCTTTGGAAATCGAGTTGGGTGTGAACTTGGTTGAAGAAGCTATTGATCAAGCTAAAGATGAACATTCATTGGTTCTTTCACTTTACGATTCAGAAGCGTAAGTGTTTTTCATAAATTCATTGAACATCTTTTGGTTTGGTTTGGTGTTTTGATGATCTTGATCGATTTGAACTGACGTTTTTGTTTTCTTGAACTTCGCTTACAAATATCATTTAATCCATCCTGGGGGTCTTTAGTTGGTCTGATTTAATTGAAAAACCAAGTCCTGGTCAATGGGATTCATTCACTGTTCCTTCTTCTACTTCTTATCCAAAAGATTGATTTTGATCATCCATCCATCTTCCCAAAAAAATTCTAAACTTGATTTTGGTTTTGGTTTTGGTTTTGGTTTTTTTTTTTTGTGGTTTTTGGTTTACTTTCCTCTGATTGTTAATTTCAAGTTTATCAATCTATACTTGAATGATACAGATCAATAAACACGACCAAAAAGAAGAGAAATGTAAATTGATTAGATTTTTGTTTGAAATATGAATTGGTTGATATGATTAACAAGATTCTTCTGAGTGCTTTGAATGAAAGATCTATACTACAGCTTCATGGCCTAATCCGATCTGACACAATCTATTTGAACGGGAGTACTTTGGAGGTTAATGGTTTTCAACCCTTAAACCTCTAATGTATGCGCCCCGTAAGTTTCAAAAAGGGGTTGCTAAATCTATTCTTACCTCAATTTCTTCAGCTTAACCATGAGAAGTGTGATATTGCTTGAACTGCACTTCTGATAAGTTATCAATACTCCTCGTGTTGATGACTCATATCTTGATGAATCAATTCATACATCATTCCAAAAAATCAATTCCCTAAACCTCTTTTTATGAATCATTCCAATTCCTTTCACAAAGAAAGAATACAAATCAAATCGAGTTTTTATCAATTTCAATTTGATTATCTAGGTATAGAAATACAACAACTTTCATTTAATCACTTTATAACAAAAAAAAAGAAAAAAAGAAGGAAAAATCGGTTTATCAAATCGTTTGGTTTGTTTTAGGTCTTTCGTAAATCATTTTTAGTTTTTTGAACAACAGATTTTACATTTTTTTTTATATTTGCATTTTGAAACATGGTGATTGTTTGGAAGGGGTTTTGGATACGGATAAAAAACGACAAGAAGTAAAGGATAAGGAAAAAAGAGAAAGGATAGGAAAGATTCAGGATCTTTGTAGATCTTCAAGAGTGTATTTGTACTATGTATCCTTGAATGGGTTATAATCCTTGAAGTAAATCAATCCAATAAGTTCCAAGAATCGATTCGATAACCAAGAAACTAATCCATTAAGACCATCAGAATCATGAACCCAACTGATCAAAAAAATCATTTAAATCAATTCCTTAAATGTTGGAATTGATGATGAAACTGAGGTAAAAGTTCTGTAGGTAAATCCAAGCCTGATCCCTCCCTACAGGAAACACCTAAAGACTCAACATCTACTGAACTAATTGGAGTGGTAGTACTTGTTTCTGATCCATCAACATGACTCTCGACCGAATTTAAAGAAGAATTAGTGATCCTCTTATTATTTCGAGTTTCAATGCACTTAGAATTCTCGTTTAAAGATAATGAGTTTAATAAGTTATGATGGATTGATCGGTTTATAGATTGGTCTATAAGGTAAGATAAGTTTATGTTTTTTTCTTGATCGAATGTAGTAGAAGAAATAAAAATCAATTGAACATTTGAAGGGATATAATTCAATAATAAATTGAGTTCTGATATATAATGATGATTGATTTTAGACGTGGTGGTATCTAATCTTAAATCGATGATTAA